CTACCTAAGGACAGTGAATGTACTGTAGGCTGACAGCCTCTGAGATGTGCCTCTGGTCCTGGAGGCGGCAGAGGGCTTCTTGGGGTGCTTCACAGGTGTGTAGAGTGTCCTTGGCAGCCAGGTACCTGTCAGTCACTGAGGGCGGAATTGCCAGGTGTTGACTCTGTTAGTATTTTGAATGAGGAGTGGGGGAATGACTTGTTGTCTAAGGCGTCTGAGTGGTCCCCTTGGGTTAGTTTATAAAAGGGTTTTGTGAGCACTGCAATACCCAGAAACCAGAGATGGAAATAGCCAATGATTCCCAAGAAGGAAAGGAGCAGTTGTGTTGGAGTTGGGATCTGGTGTAGGTGGGGTTGTGGGGGAGAACTCATGCATTCATGAGGGATGATTCCTAGATATGTTACCCATGGGGAGCAAATTTGGGTGTTGGAGGGAAATGCTCAATATCCTCTCTTTTCTAGGTGTTTCAGGAGGGAGAGGATGTCTTGGTGACAGGACTCTGAAAGGCTATACAGATCATCTACATATTGTCATAATTAGGTAGCAGTGGGGTGAGAGGAAAGGTTGTGGGCAAGGACTTGGCTGAAATAGTAAGACTATCTCAAAAGCCTTGGGGGAGTACTGTTCAGGTAAGCTTCTGTGACTGGTGAGTGTCTTGTGTCTGCCCACATGAAAGCAAAAAGGGGCTGCAAGTCAGGGTATAGAGGAATGGTTAAGGACTGAGTAATGGCTGGTGGTTGAGAGAATAGAGGAGATGACTATATGGGTTTGGAACTAGAGGATGAATGGGGAGGAAATTTGGTTGATGGCTTGGAGATTTTGTACTTAGCGGTATGATTGATCAGACTTACAGATAGCAAGGATGGAGGTGTTGAATGGAGACTTAGTGGGAATCAAGAGGTTATGAGGAGAATAATTAAGGGGTTCAGTCCTCAGAGGGCTGGATCAGGTAGGGGATATTGACTCTTGGCTGGGTAGGGGGTGGTCCTATTTTAGGGGAATGTGGAGGGGCAGATGATGTTGAGTGACAGAGGGGGTTGGCATGTCCCAAATGTGCAGGTAAGGGAGGGAGAAGATAAGGGGTAGAAGGAGGAAGGTATAGCAGTAGGTGTGAGAAGGGTGGCAATAGGGCAGGGAGTGGAATAGTGAGGCTGGCACAGAGTTTTGTTAAAATATTTCATCTAGGGCTGGGGATTTAGCTTGGTGGTTTGGTGGCCTGCCTTGCAAGCACAAGGACCTGAGTTCAATCCCTGGTATAAAAAAAAAAAAAATTCATCTGAAGAATGGGACAAAATGAGTAAGTATTTGATTTTTTTCAATTGGCACAAGAGCAGAGGGATTTTGAGAGCCCTGGCTACAGTGCTGTTTGAGAGAAAACAAACAAAAACAGGTGCACCCTAGGCAAGGCTTTATTGGGCAGAAGAGCTGCTGGACTACCTTGAACAATGGCGAGAGAGGGCGAGACTAACTGGGGTGGGGTATATATGTGCGGTGCAGTGGGGAAAGTATTGTGAGAGTTGAGCAACAGATGCTGGGTGATTGGAAGAGGAGGAACACATGGGTAGCAGGGTGGAGCAACAAGCTGGGTTTTGCTTCTCCAGAATGGGTAGGTTTCACTTTTCCGAAATAGCTCATTTCCGTAAGTGGGAGTCATTTTTGGAAAGGGAGCCATTTTAGAATGTAGGACTGTTGGGGCCATTTTGTCTGGTGGAGAACTCTATCATCATCAATTCCCACAATAGTAACTGAGGCTAAAGTAACTGTCCTGAGAATGAAAAGAGGGTGAAATGAATTGCCCCTGTATCAATCAGAAATGAAACAGTCTTACCTTCTACTGCAAGATTCACCTAGAGTTTGGTGGCTGTAATTGCCCAAGGGGCATTAGAGACCTCCAGGACATGGGAATCATTCAATCTGAGGTTCAACTGATCAGGATGGTGAGGGCACCTGAGCCAGGCAAGTGTTCCTGGGAGGGGACCCCTGAGGTAGGCCTGGCCACTCAGTACAGTTTGCCTCCCACTGAAGGCTTTAGTCTGTGGGGCATGGCTTGGGAGGCAGTGCTGGATTGGGATAGTCTTTGGCCAAGTGGCCAATCTGGTGACACTTAAAGCAATCTGGTGATCCCCCCCTTTTTTTTTCTTTTGGTTCCTGGAGGTTTTATTTGGCCCAGATTGGCTTTTAGCCCTTTTGGTGGGCACTTACAGTGGGTGTAAGCAGTTGTAACTAGAAATATATGCTGGCAAGTGGCCATATCATGATTATTGCTTGACTGATCAATTTCTGATGGGGATCTGAGGGCCAGATTTAATTTTTTGGAGCTTTCTGTGAATATCTGGGACAGATTGGGTAATACAATGCATTTTTTTTTTTAAATGTGCCCTTCTGAACTCTCAGGGTTTACAGCAGTAAACTTTCTGAGAATGGAGGCTAGGTGAGACGTAAACTGGGCCCGGATTTTTATTTCACATTTGAGTCATTTTAAAATTTTGTCATAATTAACTGATACATGAGCTGCCTTTTAAGGCCCTCAACCAGGCAAGTTACCACGTAGTCTCCGCATTGCCTTGCAGGAAAGTATTGCATCCATCAGTGGGATTGAAATCCCATACAGGCTTGGCCTGGATAATGGCTATAGCACCATCCTCTAAATTGGGCTCAAGCCACCTGCATTAGAAGACATAGCATTGAGTAGGGACCAAATATGTCTGTTCTCACTCCTCGGGGAAGGGTGTAGAAGTAAGGTTATGTCCTTCCAGGTTAAATCACAAGATCGAGTGAGTTATTGAAATTCTTGAACATATTTAGTGGGGTCTGTGAAGAAGGAACCCAAACAATGATTATTCTGAGAAAGATCAGACAGAGAAAAAGGAGTCAGAACTCGTATTAATTCCCTCCACCCCTGACACCTCCTGAAGCAGAAACAGAGGAGCAGGGGTAAGGAAGAACTGGCAAACTGTAGTTTGGACCTAGTGTGAAAGGGGGTTGAAATGGTCTTGTTAGGATAAGGAGGAGGCTTGGAAGTGTCAGATAAATAGGGAGAATAGGGACCAGAGCAGAAGAAGGTACAATAGGAGGTCCTGAAGGAAGCTGAGCAGCTTCAGGGTTGTGACTGGAGTGGGGATGAGAGGCTGGACAGGACTGCAGTGGAGACAAGACTGGGTATGAGAGGGGATGGGGAGAGCGGGTAGGGAGGCAGAGACAATGGGGAGCTGTTGGCAGGGGGTGGTGTGGTGTCAGGAACTGGCTAAGGTTGTGGGGGCAGGGGACACAGGTCCAGTGAGGAAGGGTCAATGGTCAGAGATGAGTTGTAGTCAGGAGGTGGAGGGGGAGTTGAGATGAGAAGAAGTTCAGAGGGGTCCCAAGAGGTGCAGAGAGAGAAGAGATGGCAGAGAGCAAAAAATACCTGGAGAAATGGGACCTCAGACCATTTCCCAGTCACTGGCAATAACTGTTTAGATCTCAGGGAATTGAAAAGTCAAAAGTGCCATTTTCAGGCCAGTGTGATTCGTTATCTAATCTGTATTTTGGCCAGGCCATATTGCAAAAGAAAATCGGGTGTTTTGGCTTCAGACTGGGGTAGAGGTGAAGCAGCTTGAGATTTTTTTAAAACACGTGCAAGGTGGGGAGAGGAATGGCAGAGGAGTTGCCAATGGAAGGATCTGGAATGACAAAATGGAGACAAATTAAGAATAAGAGAAAGTCTTCTGTCAGTTTCTTAAGGCCAGACAGAGTGTTGGACAACAAGTTGGGCACCCCTGAAACTTGGCAACCACCAGGGAGTCTGACTCCTGGAATGAGTGTGACCAGCACTAGGTTTGGGAGCACAGCTTGAGAATCAGCCCAGATAAACCTCCAGGGCAGAGAGAAAATGGTATTGAAAAGGAGTGTGAGAGAGAAAGGAGGAAAAAGGAACCTACCAGACCTGAAGGGGAGATTCAAATTGGCAGCAGAGCCATAGAGAGGAAAAGCTAGCTGTCTGATGTCAGAGGTGGCCTCAGTCAGCATGAAGGGGTCTGGAAAGGGATGCTAGACCTCCTGAGAAGAGGGTCTCACCTCCTGCGGTTTGGCATCAGATGTTAGGGTAAACTGAGGCACGACTGAGACCACAAGACCAGGCAAAAATGAAGCAACAAGTGTGGTTTTATTTTTCAGCCTGGCTGCAGGCCAGTCAAGGGCAATAAAGACCTTGACCCTGGGAGCTTGGGCAAGGGAAACTTTATAGGGGAGTTTGGGTAGGGAAGGGATAGAGTCAGGAAGAGTGGAGAATTTTGTCCTGGAGTGGAAGAAGTCCTTTATTCTGGGGCAGAAGAAGTCTGGTGGTCTTCAAGGGTGTGTGGGCCCACAGATGTTGCTGAGTGGGGCAGGCTGCTTATCTTGAACCTGGGCCTTGGCATCTTGTTCTTCTTTGTGGCTTGCAGATGTATAATTGCATTGCCTGGGAAGTTTTTCTCCTCTGCCTGGGCTGGGGCCTGACATAGTTCATTCATCTAGTCTGGGTCTGAAAACCCACCTGGAGCTATTGCTTACTGGGGTAGCTTGCTGATATTGGTTTACTGTCTCTGTTTTACTTAGCTTTGTTTCTCTTGTGCTAATGGTGGCTTTAAATTTATGCTGCTGTGTAAAAGGACATAGTGCCAGACATTCATTTTGAGATTGTGTCATCAGATGTATATAATTTGTGGCTTGTTTTAATGAATTGAGTTTTCTCTAGTGATGGGTCTTGTTCCCTCTTTTTGTTGGCTAAGGGACATCCAGCAGTGAGGCATCCCACTTATGGGCTTTTCAACCCATAGAGGAATTGTGTTTATAGGTTCAAGGAAGTAGCAGTGGTACTTGTTTGCAGCTGGACATGTCAGAGCCAAGGGATTCAGCCTAAACAGGTTAAACTCCTCATGGCTTTAAAGGAAGTCTGCCTAGTCAGGATAAACTCCTGGGGGGCTGAAAAGCTGAGGATGCCTGGCAAATTCCTAGATCCTAATTTTTTTTCCTCCTATCTACAGATGAGAAGAACCCCATCTATTCCTTCTGAGTCCCTGCCCCGATGTCTTCTACCAATGGGATAAGTTCCACACTAAGACCCTTCAAAGAGAGTGCCCTATATCACCGTGTAACAACAAAAGCTTGTGTATCCTCTTGGGGAAAATGAGACATGTCTACAGGATCCAGTTCAGGACACTACATTGCAAGGAGCCCTTACAGAAACAGTGCTGGAGGAAGCACAGCCCCTCAGAAACCCGGCTACACTTGGGTAGAAGACCGAATCGAAATGCTTAACTATCATCATGTAGTAACATCGAATCAAAATGGATGGAAAACTAACTCTGAAAACAGAAATCCTTAATCTGCTGGTGGTAGAATAGGCAAAACTTCTAAGGATACAGGCGAGGCCAGGACCTTCTTGCAGAATGCCAATTGCAAAAGAATATCATGAAGAATCAACAGATGGGATCATATCAAATTAAAAAGGTTCTGCCCACTAAGGGAAACAACCCACTAGGGAAGAGACAACTTACAGAAGGAGAAAGTGTTTTTGTGAGGTATTCCTTGGAGAGAAGGCTAATATTGAGAAATAGATAAAGAATATCAAAAGATTAAACCGGAAAAGATTAAAGAATTGAAAAATGGGGAATTGGAACAAATACACACTTCTCAGGAGTACAGATCGACAACAAATGTATGAAAAAAAATGTACAGCAGCATGGGCCATGAGACAAATGCAAGTCAAAACAAGCCAGATCCCATCTTCCTCGAGAAAGAATGGCCATCATCAAGAAATCAGATAACCAGAGGGCAGGTATTTAGCTCAGTGGTTACACCACCTGCCTTGCAGCACAAGGACCCGAGTTTGATTTCTGGAACAACAACAACAACAACAACAACAACAACAAACCCAAAGAAATCAGATAACCAGAAATGCTGCAAGGCTGCAGGGGGTAGGAACCCTTCTACACTATTAGGATGCTGTCAAGATGTCTAGTAAATAATTTCTTGTTACCTACAAATCAATAAAGATATTAAAAAAGCTTAGAGGGAGCCATCGCTCAAGTGCCGGGAAGGTAGGCTGGGCCCCGATCCACTGCGGGAAGGAGAACCACGCCTGCTCCTGACCCAGCAGCCATCGCTCAAGCGCCAGGAAGGTAGCAGCACGGGCGCCCCTGAACCCCTATACCCCTCCCGCACTCTCAGACCCCCTGACTGTGCAACTCTTTGGACCCACTCTGCCAAGACAGAGGTGTATCAAGGGTATTTTTCTGAGTTCCCAACTTCGAACATCTTTAAAGAAAGGGCGTGGGAAACCTGTAATAGAACTTTGGGGAGTTCAACCATTCAGAAGGATGGGGAACTCAATCTGGGCCTTGCGGCCTGAGGTCAGTCAGCCTCATGGGGTTCAGCAATCAGCTAACTGAGATCAGGGGTCTTGCATCCTCGCTCTGTGTCT